GGCCGCTGGCCGCGACTCGCACCTGCTCGCTGCCGCTGCCGCTGCGTCTCCTCTTGTTCCCCCTCTGCTGCTTTCCCTCCCCCTTTCTCTTTTTAACGGACGAGGAACGGTATAACATAAACTTTTTCTCTGTCGGGGGCGCCTGTCCCAGGGCGGCTGGAAAGTTTATACCCTTACGGTGGCACCGTAGGGGTATAAACTTCCCAGCCGCCATGGGACAGGCGCCCCCGACAGCGAAAAAGTTTCTCTTATACCGTTCTTCGCTCGCTGATCTTTTAAGACATCGATACGAAAAGAGGGGAGCTTGACGTAGCCTTGCCACCCTGGAGTGCCTGACATCGTCTCTAGGGGCGCTCTGGGGGCGCTCTTGGAGCGTTCTCTTGGGCACGGGGCGACCTCCCGCGCAGGTAAAAGAAGTCACGCAGTGTGCTGCCGCGCGCACGGGCGCACCTGCGCCGAACTCCCGCCGATGCGGCGCCGCTGCGCGAGGCGCCCGTGCGGGGCCCCCGCCCGCGCGCGCGCAAGCCCCTTCGCACGGCGAGGGCGCCGCTTTGCCTCGCGCGTGGCGCACTCTTCGCGCATCAGGCGCGACTGAAGCACATTCAGAAATCAAAACATCCACCCCCACAATGACCACCCCGGCACGCGAAGCCGTTTCGTAAACGCGCCCATGAAAAAAGGAACCGAACAGGGCAGGGCTGTTCAATAGACGCTCAGGGCCGTTCAGCAGACGCTGGTGATCGGGTCCGGGTGATGTTTCCTCCCTCGACTATTGTTATGTTGCTCCCATCGTACTTCAGGGCCACATCCAAGAAATAATTCCGAGCACCCCGAAAAGTGTCGAACGAGTGCCGACAGAGTGTCGAAACAGTGTTGGACGGATGTCTCCCAGGGCCCGACACGCGAAAACCTTCAAGTTCTTGGGTACTTTTCTGGTGCTCAAAACTATGTCTAGTGATCAAGTCTGGCCCCTCTTCGGCTCGGCTTCGGCTTCGTCTGGCCCGTCGGCCGCCCGGCGGGCGCCCGAGGACGGCGGGGGGGGAACGATTAAAAAAATAGTCTTCCAGCCCGCGGCCGGTTTTTTCTAATCATCATCTCGGGCGCCGCCGTGTGAACACGACCCCCGGTAATTTATTAATCGCCATCCTCCATTATTGGAGCACGCGGCGCACCTGGCGTACGTCGGCGCGCCTCGGGCGCGCCCATCGGGCACCAGGCGCACCTGCCACCCTCCCACTGGCCATCGCTCGGACATCCATTTCCTGTCTTTTTTTCGGGTTCGTGGTTTTTTCGCCAAATGATCAAGGATGCTCCTCGAGGGGTCCTCGCCGAGAAAAAATGCACACGTCCGAGCGATGCCAAGCCCAGAAGGCACGCGCAGAGTGCTGCAGCGCTGGCGCGGCGCGCGGCCCGCGGCCCGTGGGGGGTCGGATTTTTGTCGCTGCTCGCCGTCGCCGACTTCGGCGCGCGCGTGGCGACTTTGGGGCCCCGGGGCGCCGCCGCGTCGCAGGCAACGCTTCTGCCTTCGATCTCGCGTGGCTGCTGTGGGCGCGCCCTCCCTGCCCTTCCCTTTCCCCCTCCCCGCTCTCTCTCTCTCTGTCGTGCCGTCCCCTCGTCGTCGTCTCCCCCTCCCTGCCACGGGGCTCCTCCGCGCAGGTAGAAAAGAAAAAAGTGGGCGCGCGTGGCGCACCCGGCACGCGTGGCGCACCCCGCGAGCGTCGTGCACCCCGCGCCTGCAGTCTGGGAGCTGCTGCTTCTAGCGTGCCGCGGCGCCGGCCCCCGGGGCACGCCCATGCTATGCCTTCCAGGCGGGCGGCGTGTCTCGGGAGCGGCCAAGAGGGGGGTGTCCAAGAGGGGGGGGTGCAAATCATGACCGGCGGCACGTGCGCGGCCCAGCGGGGGCGCCAGGGACGTACAGAAATAAGCAGAGGCGCCATGAAATTGACTACCTACCAGACCACCCCAACCCAACCCGAAGACCCGAATTTCGGGTTGGGGGGGGTAAGGGTTCCCACGTGTTTTTTCGATGTTTCCCGAACCCCCCCCACTAGAAATCGAGGCTAAATCTTGGGAAAGATCATGGCCCACGCCATGATGTCCCCCCCCCCCCTGGTCATCTCACCCCCCTCTCTGCCGCCCCCGAGTGCCGCTCTCCGCTCCGCGGGGCAGGAGACCGGGAAAAAGGCTCGGAACGTTGACGCTTTGGGCACTGGGACGTGGGCCCCGAGTCGTGCCGAGGCGCGGCGGGCCAGATCCGGCGGCGCGACGCGCTGATCGGCGGCGAGCGAAGGGGGGAAGCGAGAAGGAGAAGGCATTCCAGGAAGGCGTCGCAACTTCTCAGAAGCCTTAGCGCCTGCATAATATTGCTCTGCGCTGAGCATCCGATGGCGACTTCTGCTTCTGATGAGTCTCGGGCGCTGCTGCTATGTGCCATGGGTGGAGGGCGGATGGGAATACACGAAACAGCTTGCGACGTCCCCGATGGGATCGTGATCTCTGCCCCGCATCAAGAAATAGCCCCTTTTTCGCCCCACCCGGCCACAGATCAGGGGCACTGCCAACACCGTCCACACCACCCCTGTCAAGCAAACACGCGGAACGCGATCTGCGGCAAAATCTGGATCATGTTCGGGCGCCTCGAAATCACTTACATTTTCAGTGTTCTGTACAGGGACGACAGGCGTGCCATCGTGCTGCCCATCGTCTGTAGTCCCACAAACCCTGCCAACAAAAAGTGCTAAGCGCACGTTGCGCCAAAAGCTTCGACCATGCGCGGGCACCCCGCGATCATGTCGCATGACGATGCGACGAGGAAAAAGAGGGCGCCTCGACGCGCACGGCGCATCTCGCGGCGTCGTGCACACCGTTGGCGTCTGCGTTGGTTCTCGACGGTAACCGATGGCGGCCCCTGCGTATGCTGGGACTCGGGTGCTGCTCACGTGGTGGGAGGGCGGGCGAGGGCGAGCGCGACGACCGTCCATCGGTCGGGGGTAGCTTGACCCCTTCTTCCCCCTCGCCCCCGCCCCCTGGATCTCGGGGGGTGCACGCGACACCTTCGGGAGTGAAAGATTAAAGATTCCCCGAGATGGCTTCAGATAGCCAAGGAGCATCAAAGATGGTTCAAGCTGCCACCCTCCAAGATGGCACAATTTAGATCAGGATGACTGAAGATGACGTTAAACATGCCTCCAACATGACTCAAGACCGCCGTGAGGCGCCTCCAAAATAGCACTGGGCCACTCACCAAACAAAAAAAAACAAGAGCCCTAGCTAGTCTTTCAAAACAAATGGTGCCTTCAATAATGCCTACTTCGTCGCATGTTCGAAGCTTCAAGAGGGCTCCAATAATGTCCAAAGGCTGGCTGCCATTTCAGGGCGTTCATCCTTGAAGCCTCGGTGGCCTCGCCGCTCGTCTGGCACTGGCGCATCTCGGCGCAGGCGGCCTTCCCGCACAAATGTTTGCGGTAGTTGTTGGTCGTCTCCTGCTTCGTGGGCGTCTCGTGCGCTGGCTGGCGCTTCGATTACACGGCATTGCTTGCACCACGTAGCTTGCACCACATATGTTGCACCACCGAGCTTGCAACACATATCTTCCACCACCTATACTGCATTACAGCGTGCAACACATAGCTTGCACTTGCAGAGTGCTAGAATCGATTGACTGGGTCCACGCTGGCAGACATGTCAGTGAGGTGTGCATTCTGGCTGGCTTGCTTCCGATAAGGCTTCTGAGGCCGCAAAGTGACTCCAAGATCGCCCAAGGGAGCCCTGGCCCAAAAAGCCGCCAAGGTGGCCCCGAGCACCTCCAAAAGCGCCCAGGCACTCCAAGATTGCCACAAAAGGGCGATATGTCTATACGTACATCCCACGGGAGGGCGGCCCTGCGGTTGAGAACTTCTGCTGGGCGCGTCGCGGCAGCGGACGGGGAATCACGCCGTGCCCTGCCAGCGGGTGGCGTGTCGCCCCGCTCCGCGGGGCGGGAGGCCGGCACACACTCGAGACGTTGACGCCCGAGGACCGGGCCGCGGATGGCTACCTACCAGACCACCCCCAACCTAACCCGAAGACCCGAATTTCGGGTTGGGGGGGGAAGGGTTCCACATGTGGTCTTTCGATGTTTCCCGACCCCCCCCAACTGGAAATCGAGGGTAAATTCGAGCCTTCGGGTTGGGTTGGGGTGGTTTGGTGGGTGGTGAGTGGATAGCGTGTCGCGTCCAAAGGTTGGTGTGTCAGAACCCGCGGGGCGAGCGACACGCTGAGCCAAAGGTCCTGAAGCGATTCACGCCCCCCTCGTTGTGTGATCGACGGCCTCCGAAAGGGCCCCCAGAGGGCCCCGAGGCCCCAAAGAAGGCCGCAGGAGACCCCACTAGTGCTGCAGAATCACCCACAAAGGGTCCCGAGAGGGCTCCACAATGGATTCACGAGGCTCCCACACATATATGAAAACTCGCCACTGTTGGCTTTGATGTTTTCACTGTGTGCGCACCTACTTCCATACTCCCGACAGCTTGCCTAGGCACCCATATTGTATGGACTGGTGGGGATACACGAAGCGTCAAGGATAACTATGAAGCAAAGGGTGGGGAAGGAAGAGTGGACCATGAGCAGGCAAATGAGGCAAAGCCGAGGAAGGAGGGGGAGGAAAAGCATGGAGAGGAGGAGTATTCCAAGTTTCCCTTGGAAAGACAGGGAGGAGCAGCAGGAAGTCAGGAACACCAGGGGGGGAGAAAGCATGAACATGGAGGAAGAAGCGGAGGAATATCTTCCTCCTCCTCCCATGTTCTGTCTCTGCCTCCTCCTCCTGCTCACTATCCTGCCCCTCCTCCTGCTATTCCTCCTCACCTCACCATCACCATCACAACTATCATGATCATCATCACACCGTCCTCGCCCTCACCCTTGCCCTCGTCGTGGCACGCGCACAGGTCGACTGGTGCGACAACCCCGGTCCTCTTCGATAGCAGGGGGTGTGCCGCGAAGCCGACGGCGTCCACCAGAGCCTCGAGACAGCTCGCAGCAGGGGATCAACGGGAGGGTGGGGAGGGAGAAGCAGACGGAGGAGAGATGGATCAGATAATCCTGGCAGGTAGATAAAGCGCGTTTCTATATTTTCGGCGACAATGGACATTATAGGGGGGGGGTATAATGTAACGTCCCCCCCCCTGCCGTGTGGCTCCAGCACCACAGCCGCGCCCGCGCGCACGACGACGACGAGCGACGAGCGACGACGAGCGACGACGACGACGACGACGACGACGACGACGACGACTCCGCCGACGACGACGCGAGCAGCATGTAGGTGGCGACCTGCCCCCCAGCGCCTGTGTACACCACCATGCTCGCGTGCACCACATAGCGCGTATACACAAGAGCGCTTGCGTACACCGCAACAGCCGTGTGCGACGCAGCGCCTAAGTACACCACAGACCCTGCGTGCACCACAGCGCCGGTATACACCACAGCAACTGTGCAACTCCGCAACAGCCGTGTGCAACACAGCGCCTGTGTACACCACAGTGCTCGCGTGCACCACAGCGCGCGTGTACACCACAGCGCCTGCGTACACCGCAACAGCCGTGTGCGACGCAGCGTCAATGTACACCACAGGCCTTGCGTGCACCACAGCGCCTGTGTACACCACAGCGACTGTGTAAAACCGCAGCAACTATGTGCAACACAGCGCCTGTGTACACCACAGTGCTCGCGTGCACCACAGCGCGCGTGTACACCACAGCGCCTGCGTACACCGCAACAGCCGTGTGCGACGCAGCGCCTGTGCACACCACAATGCTTGCGTGCACCACAGCGCGCGTGTACACCACAGCGACCGTGTAACACCGCAGCAACCATGTGCAACACAGCGCCTGTATACACCACAATGCTTGCGTGCACCGCAGCGCCTGTGCCCACCACAGCATCCGCGTGCACGCAGCGCTGGTGTACACCACAGCGCCTGCGCGCACAGGATAGGTGAGGATCTGCTGCGGACAGCTAAACGCCACGCCAGAGAAGTGCTGATAATAGCATACGACGTTCTTCTCTCCTCCCTCCTCCACCACATCCACCTCCTCCTCCTCCTCCTTTTCCTCCTCCTCCTCCTCCTGCTCCTCCTCCTCCGCTCTCACCCTTCTCTCCTGTCGGACCAATGCGGACCAGGCTCCTATGCGGATTCCTATGCGGACGAAGATGCGGATCCCGATGGAGCGCATGGGGGGGAGGGGCGTTACATTATACGGGGGGGAGGGCCGGTGGCTATAATGCCCATTATGCCTCAAGGGATACAGTAACACGCTCATGGGGGAACCACGTGGAGTCTGCACGGGAGGCACACGCAATCGGACCTCCGACGATTCGATCATTTCGAGACGCCTGCTCACGGAACTCTCGATTCCAGAACTGCTGTCTGACGATCCCCGCCCCCAGACAGTGGATGAGAGGCTACTGGGAGCCCAAGGTTGCAAGCCGCCTCGAGCGTGATTTCGTTCTAGTCGCCAGGGGTCTGGGTCCCCTGAAGCTGCCCCTGGCCTTACAGTGTGCTGCTTGATAGATCTCCACATCTGCAGGGCTGTCAGAACAACCTCGAACCTCGACAATCAATCAACTTCTGGGGCCCTGGTCCTACCTTCTGGCTCTCCTGGGAGGCAAAGGGCAGGAAGGCCCCTGGAGACAAAACGAAAGCATCCAAACCCCACTGAGTGAAGCTCAGCAAGCGCGGAGGGCGACATGGGGGAGGAGATGATATCGGCACCTCCACCACCGGCGTGACGAGCCAGGGAGGGCCCACCTGGCAGTGTGGTCCCCCTGCTCTGCAACGCTCCGGCCGAGACATGTCCAGTCTTGCGTCGGGCATGTTCCCCTGCAGGAGGAATCTTCAGACATAGTTTTAAGCAAAGGAGGGCGATTCTGCGATTCGTTCAATGTCTGGATCGTTTTTACTTTTCCTCCAAGATGCGCCTGTCGGAGGACATGCCCGACCTAAATCCAGTCTCCAGCCCAGGGAGGCATCGTAAATATCCTCGCTGGAGGTGGCCCGCTGGTGGTGGTGGTGCCTGGGTGGACCGGTACCGCTGCTCCACGGGACCTCTTCGGGGGTGCATTCTGGCCAAACTTTGGACGCGTATCCGACCGTGGCGACGAGGGCTCTCCAGGGCAAGCAGCGGTGTCGGGACTTGTTCCTCCTCTGCAGCGCATCTTCTGGAACGAGAATGATTCCATGATGGATCAGAATCCGGACCAGAAATTCTGGGGTACCTAGCGACCCTCGTTCCTGGAGCCTGTGCGGAACAATCGGGAATCCAGGGAGTGCTGGAACTCCTGACACAGATCACTACCAGAAAACAACACGCGCATTTGCTCGGCCTATCCCATAGCACCCAATAGCGCGCCTAATCGGGCGCCGAGCGGACATGCTGCATCTTCCTCACATGGCGCTGCTGGGCGCTGTTGGTTGCCAGTGGGCGCTATTTGAAAGCTATTTGGAGCTACTGGGCCCGATGGGGTGGTATCGGGTGCTATTTCGCGCGATCCAGCGCTTTTGGGTGGGAGCCATTCGCCGAGAATGCATTCAATCAGAAACGCTCGGACGCTCCCGTGATTGACCATCGAATCATTATTGTGACTTCTTGCTCCTCCGAGCAGATCCACCCGCCGCGGGGCGACGGACCGCACGGCGACCTCGAAATCCCAGGAGCCCTCACCAGGTGGTCCGCTGCCGCACGGCCGTGGGACCTCGGATGCCCCCGGTCGCCCGAGGCGCCCTCGGACAGCCCGCCGAGTCCCAGAACCGTGCGGCGGCCGGGTCGCCACACACACAGCGCGGTCACCACGCACTCTCAGGAGGCAGATGCTGGGAGGCCCTCGCCGGAAAGACTGAGGCGGAGTGAGCCCCATGAGGAGGCGGCTGCGCCGGATCTGGCCGCGGATTGAGCAGGGCAACATCAGAATTTGACCTCCCAGGAGCTGCATCCGAAACACTCCGCAGATTCCCGATTGATGACCCCTCGGTGCGGCCCAACTGCTCGCACCCGCTCTTGCGAAGGCCTCCCGAGCTCCCAGAGGCTGCCCCCTGCCGCACGGAGGACGTGCGGTGGCAGCACACCGCTTGGGGGCCCCAGCCCTCTCCCCCCTCCGGTGCACTCGGGGACCTGTACTGACCCAGGTTGGTCGGTCAGGCCTCGCAGGAGCCTGCAAAAGCCTGCAGGACCCTGCAGGACCTGCGCCCAAGCCCGGGTCAGGGCGCCCCGGGCGCTGCAAGATCCTGCAAGATCCGGCACCCTGGCGGATCCTGCAAGATCCTGCATTGACTCCCGTCTCTGGGTAACTTAACATGACGAACCAACAACTCACACCCATACCCATAGGGGGGTCGGAGAGGGCTATGGGTGCGTGTTGTCGGATGGGGGTCCCCGCTCGAACGGGAGCGTTCCCCAGGGTCCGACAACCCGCACCCATACCCATAGCCAGTCCTCCTCTCAGCGATCCCCCTATGGGTATGGGTGTGTGTGTGTGTGTGTGCTGCTCGTTCGTCACGAAAGGTGCCGGTACCGCTGCTCCCCGGACCTCTCCCTGGGTGCGTTCTGGCCAGAACTCCGAGGCGCGCATCCAGCGGTGGCGACGAGGGCCTCCGAGGAGGCCCACGCAGGCAAAAACGAGGGACGAGTAGAAGTACAGTCGAGGCGTTGACGTGAGGAACCCTTAATCAGGAACGAGGCCCCTCTTTTCCATAAGTTCAACTTCGATTTCCAATCGAAAACATAAGGGAAACCTGAAGCAAGCTGCGAAACACTTCAGGAACGCGGAGCCCCTCCCCAACGAAAAGGGTTCCTTCTTCAGGGCCCCGACTGTACCTTTTCTAGAAAGATGGGGAAAACTGCATAAACATTAACTTTTGGCGCTCCGCGCGGATGTCTTGGATCCGCGCTGGGCCCCCATCCCTGGTGCGCGGAGCGCGCCAAGGGCGGCGCCGGTGGCGCCGCCGGGGGAGTTCCAGCGCCGCCAGAGGAGTCGCAGCGCCGTTCCAAGAAACCCGCGCGGAGCGCCAACAAAACAATTATGTTCATGCCGCTTCCTCTTTTTCGATGCTCTTCCTCTGACTCTCGAGGCTCCCGGAGCAGGGCCTGCGGCACGAAGCCGGCCTGGTCCGCCTCGCCGCAGATGACGGCGAAGTGGCCCGCCGGCCCCACCCCCCCGGGCGGGGGGGGGGGGGGGCGCGGCCGCGGGGGCCCGGGCAGGCCACGCATCATTATATATATATATATATATATATATATATGTATGTGTATTACCAACATAATGTGTATATATATATATGTTAAGCATATATAAAAACTAGATAATGTGTATATGTATATGGCAAAACATCACAACTCAGAACGCCCCGCGGCGACATGCGCGGCCGCGGGGGGAGGGGGTGGCGAGGGAGGGAGGGGAGGGGGTCCACGGAGGAGGAGGGGGGGGGGGGGGCGAGGTGGAGCAGGGAGGGCGGAGGGAGCGGGAGACAGGAGGGAGGTGGGAGGAGGGAGGAGGAGGGAGGAGGAGGAGGAGAAGGAGGGGAGAAGGAGGAGGAGAAGAAGCACAAGGAAGAGGAGGAGGAGGAGGAGGAGGAGGAGGAGGAGATGGAGGAGGAAGGGGAGGAGGAGGAAGAGAAGGATGAGGAGGAGGGGGAGAAGAAAGACGTCGAGGATGGGAAAACGGCAGGCGCCGCGGGCGCGGGGCTGAGGGAGTGCGAGGAACGAGTGGATCCCCGTGTGAACCATTTCAGTTTTCCATCGGAGATTCTCGTTTCACAGACGGCAGTTGTTTCCACGGGGAGCGTGAAGAAATCGAGAGAGGAGGCTTTTGCGGCTGTGCAAATGTCGGGCGAAACTCTTGTCCGAGGAGTTTACGGCCCCCTCGCCCGCCCAGACCCACATGCACGAGCCGTACTCGCGACGGGGACGAGGAGGAGGAGGAGGAGGAGAAGGAGGAGGAGGAGCAGGAGGAGGAGGAGGAGGAGGAGGAG